TTGGTGTGAGTCTTGATGCAGACGCTGGTGTTGCTCTCGGTGTAGGTGCCGGCCTCGGCGCGAAAGCAGATCCTGGCGTTAACGCCGGTCTTGGTGCTGGTGTCGGGCTTAAGGCCAATTCTAGTCTTGGTGCAGGTGTAAGTTTAGGTTCAGATGTTGGTGTGAATGTTCGCCGCCTGCGCATAAATTATTTGGCGAGTGTTTGATGCATGAAAAATATTCGCGCAGTACATGTTTGTTTCGATTATCTTTCTGTGCCAAAGAATCTGCTTTTATTTTAAGCGTTGCGAGTCTAAACAGATCGCGTATATATGTTCACTTTCTTATGTACAATGGTTGTAAGTTGTAGAAACAATAAGAGTTTAACCAGTTTGTTGGTAAATTCACTCTTTTGATAGACCATTAAACGTAACAGCAACATGATAATCTCTGCTGACATACTTCCCTGTTGTTAAGAGTCAACTCAAAATAATATCGCAGTAATATCGGGAATTGTTGATGATTGTACGACTTCACTGTAATCTATACGGCACCAGTTGCTCATACTTTTAATAACCAAGGTTGTATGTGGAACATAGGTTCATAACTTTAGTATATACTATGTCGCTGAATTTTGTTACCTTCTCTTTCAACATAACTAAACCAAAGCATCTTTATTCCGCGCCACAGTGTTAGTAAACTCGCCAATGAAACCAATGTACACCCTATGCGGTGCGCCTTAAATATTAAATTGCCTGACTTTAAACTTGACAAGTTCACATCTAACGTTGTATCAAATTGAGATCATATCGCCTCTAGCGTGAGCAATGATGTAGTGATGATCCGATAATCCTTTACTACTAGCGCGAGCAATGTCGTTTTCGCTTCTCATGTGGTGAACACGGCACAAAAAATGTGACAAATTACTGTCATCTTTTTCTGATGGACAGTTACTGGTAGCGTTAATAGTGACACCCCCTGCTGCTGCCAACATCAATTGGTCATGGTGCAGGCGCTGGTCACTACGTAGACGGTTACCTTGGTTCGCACGCTGGCTACGGTGCCATTGCCGATGCAGGTGCAGGTGTTGGTTATTCTGGTTTTGGCGTATGTTATCATTTTGCCGGTGTAGGTACCGGACACGGTGCAGGTGCCTATCACGAATAGTCAAGAGCCTTTCTCGCTAATATCGACATCGATTTGCCATGAAGATGTAGTCTGTGGGTGTCCTTAATATCGGAGTCTTCCATTTTGCGTTGAAACTGTGTATTGTTCGGCATCCGTAGATGCGATTGACATATGCGATGACAATTTACGTTCGTCAAAGTTTAGGGTCATTCACCATCGCGTATACAGCTGCCTGCACGATAACAGAAGTCGCCGTGTGTATGCTGAACTTTATGAGCTCCCGTCTATATTCACAACAAAATGCTGCTAACCTTGACCTTGATAAAGCAACGTAAAGCTAGGGGACATCAATGTACCATAGCTAATCGTGCGTATCGTATGGTTAATGTAAGGACTATTGTTTTAGTTACGGCCCACTATACTTCATGCGCACTTATAATGGACTGCGCCTGACTTGGAAGTTCAAATTATAGCGCTACAAACCCACCAAGCCCTGATGCAAGACATTTTCGTTCACGCAAGCTACTAAAGTTTGTTGCAAGACAATTTCAAATCTTGTTAATACGTCTCCAATTTGCAATCAACACAGGTTTTAGTTCTCTCTCATTTTGGTATCTTTGGACTTGCTGAGGTAGTTATCGTGAAATTTATTGCATTCTGTGCTAGCCACTCACAAAAATCAGTGCCATTGTAATATCCAGGCTCCTTAAACGACTCATTCTAGGACTTGTATTTATTGAAGTGCAATACAATAGATTTCGGTCTTCACCA